GTCTATATATTAGTCATCATCATATGACTATTTCTTTTCAGTTATCAAAAGCAAGCCCTGTTGTGTAAAATTGAAAACAAAGCAAAACTTTCTAAAGGAAACCTATGTAAGGTATTAGGAAGTACACAGAGAGACCTTTGAAAATGTAAGAAGGAGCCCTTTAAACAGCCTGCAACCTGATGCTTCTTTTCCCATTAGCAAACAGAAGATCGGCGGCACTCTCTTACAGTTTTGAGTTAGAGAATATGCCCCTGAATATCAAGATATCTACTTGTCATGAAGAAATCTCTTCCAAGAAAGAGAAGGGAGAGCTTTTCAAAAACAATTTAACTCAAATTCAAGTGATGTGAAGCATTAGCTGGCCAGGCAGCACCTGGTCAAGGGGTGCTCATTTCGGAATAGCTGTGGATGAGCCTAGCCCATAGGGTCACTTCTCGGAGTGGCTGAGACGGAGGGATTTTCAAGAATCTTGGCAGGTTGCATTTGTAACTTTCAAACTTTTTACCATGTTACTACTTTCTCACCCTAATAAAAAGAGAAAGAAAGTGAAACACTAGAAAATAACAGGGAAAAAACCTATAATGTTTAAACCCTACCTCGATATGACTAATTATTCTAGCGCACTTTGATTTCTCTTGCTTTTTTGGTATTTTATTTCATACTTCCCAAGACCAGTAGCTGTTGAATTGATTCCAATTTAGGATAAGCCTGTGTGATAGAGTAGAATTGTGCACTATTGGATTTCAGTAACTGCTTTGTTGTTTGTTTTTTTATAAAAAAAATAGATTGCCACACCTTTTTTCCTGGGACCTTTTAGGTGACTCAATTTCCAAAGTTTTTGTTAGCAACTGAGCATGTTAACCACTTGGACAACTTCGGGCTTCCAGAGCCATACAGTACTCTTGTTAGTTTGTTTTGCTATCCGCATCTGTATCTCTGGAAGTCATTCACAGGCTCTGGGTTTACTGCTTGTGTTTGGGCTTCATTTTTCTTAGTAATTGTGTTCTAATGGTTACATTATTTG